CTTGTCACCCAGGCTGGAGTGCCGTGGCACAATCTTGGGGCTCTTGGCTAACTGCAACCTCCACCTCCCAGGTTCAAGCAATTCTCCTGCCTCAGCCTCCTGAGCATTTGGGACTACAGGTGCCCGCACCATGCCCAACTAATTTTTGCATTTTTAGTAGAGAAGGGTTTCACCATGTTGACCAGGTTGGTCTTGAACTCCTGACCTCAGATGATCCACTCTCCTCGACCTCCCAAAGTACTGGGATTACAGGTGTGAGCCACTACACCTGGCCAACTCTTCATTTTTAATAAGCCTCCCTGGTGATCTTAATAGAAGTAGCATGAGAAGCTTGACGTTGTTATGCCACATTAGTTTCTGAAATATTACCCATTTTTCAAAATCCAGCTGGAATGCAAGATGACTTTAGACGAGACATGAATAAAACTTACTTTATCTTAGTTGGTTCATCTTTATTTTAATAAGTTTATTGGTTTTCTCTTTATTATAATGACATACATATTCCTTTGCAAACAAATTTAGTTCCACAAAGAAGTGAACTGATTTTTTTTAATGCTAAAAACTGTAGTAGCTTAGCAAACACCACTCTAGTTAATGTAAACCATATGTAAACATTGGCTTGTTTTCCACATTGGTGCTTTTTAAAAACTGACACATAATGGTACATATTTGTGGAGTAAAGAGTGATATTTCCATACATAAAGTGTGTAAAGATCAAATCAGGGTAATTTGCATATCCATCATCTTAAACATTCGTCATTGCTTTGTGTTGGGAACGTTCAAAATCCACTCTTCCAGCTATTTGAAAACACGCACTAAATTATTGCTAACTGTAGTCACACACTAGGACATACTCCTCTCCTCTAGCTGTCATTTAGTGTTCTTTAACCATTCTCTCACTATTTTCCCCTCCTCTCTACCCTGCCTTCCCAGCCTCTAGTAACCACTATTCCACACTCTGCTTCTATGAGATTAACTTCTTTAGCTTCTGTACATGGGTGAGAACATGTGGTATTTATCTTCCTGTGTCTGGCTTATTTCACCTAACATAACGCCCTCCAGCCTCGTCTATGTTTCTGCAAACGACAGGATTTCATCCTTTTTCATGGCTAAATAATACTGCTTTGTGTGTAGACACCACATTTTATCTTTACCTGTTGGTGAATGCTTGGGTTGATTCCCTATCTTGACTATTATGAGTAGTGCTTTGCATTATGCTTTTTAATGTGCATAGAAGATAAGGAGCAAAGGAGTAAGAGAGTTTGGGAGGCAAAAATTCAAACTGTTTTTCCTCTGCTCTCAAACCATCCTGCAATCAACACGGAAGACTTCTGTGACCAAATGTGGGGAGTTTTCCCCATACACCAATCGAGCAATCAGTTCTGCAGCAGCCACTAGCTGGGTATCCTCCAACTCAGTTCTGACACTACCTGCCTAGAGATAGCATCAGGTCCCACAGGTTGAGGGCTTAATCCCACAAGATTCCACCCACTTCAGATGCTAGTCACAAGTCTAGGCATCCAGAACTTCCGGCCAACTGGCTTCAAGTTAGGTTCCCACGACCCCCTCTTTGGATTGGATAAATGTGCTAGAATGTCTCACAGAACTCAGGGAAATACATTTACTGGCTTATGATAAAGGATACTGCAAAGGATACAGATGAGACGCGTATGGTGAGGTATGGGGGAGGGGTGCAGAGCTTCCATGTCCTCCTTGGGTGTGTCATCCTACAGGAATCTTCATGTGTTCAGCTATTCAGAAACTCCCCCAACTGTGTCCTCTTGGTTCTTTGACGGAGACTTCATTGGAGAGCCATGATTGACAAACGTGTACAAATGTGATTGGACCAAAAGGGTCCAATCACGTGATCTAGTATTAGGTCACTTGGTCTAATACTAACAGGCTAAGCGGAGAAACCCAGCGATGCCTGCCTGTGCAGATTCTTTTTGGCTTCTCTGTGTAGCCTTCCTTCCTTTGGTGCATGGAGCAGGGCTGCTTCTGAAATGAGGGTCTTATGACCACAATCAGAAAAGCGGAGAAGATTAGAGTTCTGCTTTACACTAGGGAGAGAACGGCAGAGAAAAATCCAAGAGATAAATTCTGTTTTCTGCGGCCTGCCTCTGAGGTCTAAAATGCCGAACGTTATTTTAAAAAAAGAAAAAAGACTGTAACAAGATGTTATGTCACAGAGATAAATAAGACCTCTGTGTTATCCAAACCCAAGATTGGCTGTACTCTTCTTTTGCTTAAAATATATATATGTTTAAGCAATATTTATATATAATGTATTATAGAAATGTATTTTACATATAAATATAATTATATTTTTATATATTTAAATTAATAAAGCTTGACAAAAATAGAGTATAGATACTGAAGTTTGGAGGCCTATAAGCATTCATGAAATTTCATCTTTTCATTTTCTCAATAAAGCATCTGTCTTAATCCATTTGTGTTGCTATAACAGAATGCCTGAGACTGGGTGATTTATACATGAAAGAGGTTTATTTGGCTCTACGGTTCTGCTGGCTGGAAGATCGAGCATCCGGTGAGGGCCTCAGCTGCCTCCACTTGTGGTGGAGGTGAAGGGGAGCACACGTGTGCCGAGATCACACAGTGAGAGAGGACGCAAGAGAGAGCAGATAAGATGGAAGGACTGGGCTCTTTTTAACAACCAGCTCTTGTGGGAACTAATAGAGTGAGAACTCACTCACCCCCTGCCCTAGGGAGAACACTCATCTATTCATGAGGGGTCTACCCCATGACCCAAACTCCTCCCATTAATACCCAATCTCTGACATTGGGATCAAGTTTCAACATGAGGTTTGGTGGGGCAAACATCCAAACTATAGCAGCATCCATGTGTGGAAAGTTAAAAGCATCTTTTTTTTCGACATGGCCTTGTTCTGGCAACCAAGCTAGAGTGCATGGCTCACTGCAGCCTCAACCTCCTGGGCTCAAGCAATCCTCCCACCTCAACTTCCTGAGTAGCTGGGACTACCAGTGAGTGCCACCATGCCCAGCTAATTTTGCGTGTTTTTTTTTTTTTTTTTTTTTTTTAAATAGAGACAGAATTTCACCATGTTGCTCAGGCTAGTCCTGAACTCCTGGACTCAAGTGATCCGCCTGCCTCAGCTTCCCAAAGTGCTGGGATTACAGGTGTGAGTCACCGCACCCAGCCAAAAGCATCTTATCTTCTTCCTCTGTCTTGTGGCACTTGAAGACACTAAACTTTACCAATCATCTTGCAGCTTGCAGACATACATACAGGTCCCCATTCCTAGAGATCAGCTCTTCATATTTGGACCATGGGAGCAGTGAAATTAGGCTGTGAATCAGATTAGCACCACGTCAATTCTCTCCACCCCAGCCTCCATAAGCACAGCTTTCTCTAAGTGAAGTCAGCATTATTCACATAAAATGTTACCACTGACTACTGGTGCACAGTGTGATTGAGGTTTATGAGTTACTCAGGATGATTACAAGATGAAGACTCAATCCTTAGTGGGGACACCTTGCACCCTCTGCCCCCCAGCTCACTTCATACCACCCTCTTTTCCTCTGCACTGGCATCTATCTCTTCCCCAAATCTCTATGTGCTCCCTCCAGCCCAAGAGCCTTGCTCATTCTGCTCAGCCCTAACTGAAATGCTCAATTTCAAATAGTTTCATAGCTCCACATACTCATCCTGTATAGCCATTAACACAGACTGAAAGTTTACATTTATCTATGTGGTTGTTTGGTTAGCATGGCTGGACCATCCGTTCTGTAATGTCAGGGATTGCATGTGTTTTGCTCACCTTTGTATTCTCAGCCCCTTGCACAGTAGTGAAGAGCTTACCACGGAGTCGAAATTCAATAAATATTCGTTGGCTGAATGAATAAGTGGATGGATGGATGGAACATAGTGCCTGCCTTCTGGGAATTTGAAATTCAAGCCAATAATTATTTTGACAATGGAATACAAGTGACAAAATAAATATTCAATCAACATATAAAAAGTAAGAGTTGGCCGGATACAGTGGCTCATGCCTGTAATGCTGGCACTTTGGGAAGCTGAGGCGAGTGAATCACCAGCCTGGCCAACATGGGGAAACCCCGTCTCTACTACAAATACAAAAAAAATTAGCCAGCCCTAGTGGTGAGCGCCTGTAATCCCATCTACTTGGGAGACAGAGGCAGGAAAATTGCTTGAACCTAGGAGGCAGAGGTTGCAGTGAGCCAGGATCGTGTCATTGCCCTTCAGCCTGAGCGACAGAGCAAGGCTCTTTCTCAGAAAAAGTAAGAATCAATCAGATTTTTTAAGAGCAGGAATCAAGGAAGGGATGTATTCTTGTAAAGATGGTAGATATTGGGGATAGTGTCCCAGGTGGGGCTGGAGGAGGCTAGGGCAGTGAACTGTGTCTCCTCAGTTGCACTTCTATTTAGCTTTTAGTCTGTGTCTAGCTGTCACCTATTAGACAGAGGGAAAGACCAGGATCAAAGTAAAAGCAAGCTGGAGTCCTGCACAGGGCCCTGCAGAAACAGATCTGCCTCAGCCCACCCTCATCGGCCTATTTTCTATTACTCCAAGTCCTGCTTTCATGGTAATGGAAGCTGGTTGGCTTGCCTTGCTGGCGGTCCGTGCCTCCACCCACTACAAACACAAACACAACCTATGTACTGCTATAACAGAATACCACAGACTGAGTAATTTATAAAGAAAAGGAATTTATTTCTCACAATTCTGGAGGCTGTGCAGTCCAAGAGCATGGCACCAGTATCTGGCCAGGGCCATCCCATGGCAGAAAGGTGGAAGGCAGAGGTGAGCACATGAGACAGTGAGGGAAGTAGACCAAACTCGATGTTTTTTTCTTCGGGAACTAATTCCTGCACCAATCAACTCATTCCTGTGATAATGGCATTAATCTATTCATGAGAGTGGGGCCCTCATGAGCTAATCACCTCTTTTTTTTTTTTTTAAACAGTCCAGAGGTCTTTTTTTTTTTTTTTTAACACTATTATGCCATGAATTCATAGGGAATAGGTTCCAGCAGCTCGGGCTCCTTCCCATTGGTTCTCACAAAGTGTGTTTCTCTGGGTGGAGCAGGCTGGCGCTTCAGTTGGACCCAGGTACCTTTCTTTTTGGCTTCTTTCTTTTTCTGATCATTTTCCTTCAAACGTTTTAGGAAGCTATCTCGGCTCTTAGAGTGCTTGATGTGCTCAATACGCACATTAATTCTCTTGGCAAGAATCTTGCCCTTAACTTGTTTGTTTACAACAATGCCAACAGCATGCTGGGTAACACTGTAGACCCTTCCAGTTTTGCCATGATAACATTTGTGGGGCATTCCTTTTTGAACAGTACCCATTCCCTTGATGTCTACAGTATCACCTTTCTTATAGATTCGCATATACGTGGCCAAAGGAACAACTCCATGTTTTCTAAAAGGCCTAGAGAACATGTATCGAGTGCCTCTCCTCTTTCCCTTTGTGTTCGTCATTTTGGCAAATTACTGGAAGATGGCGGTTCCGGCGGAAAGGAGGCGCTAATCACCTCTTAGAGGTCCTGCCTCTCAACACTGTTTCAATGGCAATTAAATTTCAGTATGAGTTTTGGAGGGCACATTCAAACTGTAGTGTCTCCAACCCCACATTTTCACTTGGAATTGCCCTGGTGGGGACTCTCTGAGGTGACTCAGCCCCTGAAGCAGATTTCAACTTGGGCTTCCAGGTGACCCATGATGTCCTTTGAAATGTAAGCAGAGGAAGCCATGCATTTTGCATCCCTGCAGGGTTAACACCAAATGTTTGCCATGAAGGCTTGCTGCCTGTTCTTTCTGGAGCACCCAGGCCTGCTTGAACTACAGCTGGAAGGGCTGAGGGGCACTGTGCTGAAATTCTCAGAACAAAGACCTGAGGCGGCTCTGGGCAGTGAGCCTCCGGAGGGAACCTCAGGCCCATCCCTCTAAACCATTCCATCCTCTTACGGTTCTGGGCCTGTGATGTGGAGGCAGCCTTGAAGATCTCTGAAATGTCTTTGGGGTCACTCTTTCATTGTTTTGATGAAAAGCTCCTGGCTTTTCTCTAGCCATAATTAATATCCTTAGCAAACAGTGGCTTGGCCACACCCTCAGTATTCTCCTGAACACACTTTCTCACTCTTTACGTAGCCAGGCTGCAAATTTTCCAAATCTTTCTGCTTTGCTTCCCTTTTAATTCTAAATTGCAACTTTAAGTCATTCATTCGTTTGATATGTCACTGTGTGCTATTAACAGTAGCCATGCAGCAGCCTAAATATTTTGCTGCTTAGATATCTCTTCTACCAGATAGCCTAGCTCATTGCTTTTACATTCTGCATTTCACAAAACCCTCAGGCTTGGACACAATTCAGCCACAGTCTTTGCTATTTTAAAACAAGGATGGTCTTTCCTCCAGTTTCCAATACGTTGTTTCTCATTTCCATCTGAGACCTCATCAGAATGGCCTTCAGAGTTCAGATTTCCACCAACAATTTAGTCATGACCACTTATGTAATCTGTGAGAAGATTCTAACTTTCCCTAGTTCTGGGGTCTTCTTCTGAGCCCTCAACAGAATGTATCTTTAATCTTAATGCCCCATTCATGACATTAGGGATTTTTCTAGTCCATGCCAGGCTTTTTCTACTCTGTTCCTCCAAACGCTCCCAGCCTCTACTCAAAGGCGCTTTCAGGTACTCCTTGTAACAACAGCCCTAGCTCTCAGTACCAATTTTCTGCTGCTATAGCAGTACCCGAGACTGGAAAATACATACATATTTAGAGACAGGAAGGGATCTACATATGTATATGTGTACACAAATATACTCATGTATATAAGTATATGTATATGAGTGCATATATATATGCACTCATGTACTATGTACTGAGTATGTATGTATATGAGTATATATATATGGATTCTGTGTGGGGAAAAAAAGTGTGTGGGGGTCACTCTAAGCAGGTGCATCTCACTTCTAGGTCACAAATCAGGGACATCCTGTCTTCATTCCCAGGTGTTAGACATAGACAGAACTAGGTCCCCATTCTAGTAGTGCAGTGACCTTCCTGAAGGCCCCAGATCATCCTAGGCAGTCCTGCTTCCTGGGGATTTAGGGCTCTTATGGCCTTGTTCCCCACCCCCAGGGATAAACAAGGAGACACAAACCTCAGAGGGAGCCGCAGGTAACTTTAGTCACGGTCCAAACTAACGTGCCCAGCCTGAAGTAGACAAGGCTTGCGAATATACAAATGAATGAATTATATATATTTATGATTAATTAATTATCAAACCTATAAATATTACATATCTGCTCTGGTGTCTGTCCACCATGAATCAACACTGGGGGTTTTATGACAATATGTATATGAGTGTGAGTATATATACACGTATATACATATACATATATGTGTATGTATGTCTTTCTATGAGTATATATATGTATAGGAATATACATACATACTCATATATGTATATATGTATATGAGTATATATGGGTATATGAACTCAGCACATGTACTGAGTATATATATATATTTGTGTGTACTCATATACATATATATCTACATGAGTATACATGTTTGTATATATATACATATATACTCATATATGGATATATATGAGTATACATATATGTGTACTTATATATATGAGTATACATCTATGCATATATGAGTATATATGTATATTTATATACTTATGTACATACTCATCTAGATATATATATGTATATACGCATGAGTATATATGTGTATATATACATATGTATATACTCGGTACATGTACCAAGTATATATGTATCTGAGTATATATATGTATATGAGTATATATGTATAGGAGTTTGTGTGTGCATGTGTGAGTGTGTGTGTGTGTATATATATATATATATATATATATATACATATATATCCCTCTCTCTCTACATATATATATGTGTGTGTGTGTGTATATATATATATATATATGTATGTATGTATACACATATATATGTAGAGAGAGAGAGAGGGAGGGATATATATATATATACACACACACACGCATACACAAACTCCTATACATATATACTCATATACATATATATATGTATGTAGAGAGAGAGAGTAAGAGAGTTTCACTCTGCCACCCAGCTTGGAGTGCAGTGGCATGATTATAGCTCACTGCAGCCTCGAACTCCTGGGCTCAAGGGATCCTCCTGCCTCAGCCTTCCAAGTAGCTGGGACTACAGATGCATGCCACCACACTCAGCTAATTAAAAAAATTTTTTTAGAGATGAAATTTCACTACATTGCCCAAGCTGGTGTTGAACGCCTAACCTCAGGTGATCCTCCTGCTTCAGCCTCGTGAGTTGCTGGGATTACAGGCATGAATCACCGTGCCTAGGTTGGGTAATTTATAAGGAAAAGAAATTTATTTCTCATCGTTCTGGAGGCTGGGAAATCTAAGAGCATGGTGCCAGCATCTGGCGAGGGTTATCCCATGGCAGAAGGGTGGAAGGTGGAAGCAGGCACATGAGACAGTAAAGGAAGTGAACCAAACTCTTCTTTTATCGGGAACCCACCCCTAAGATGACAAACTCACTTCTTTGATAATGACATTCATCTAGGGTCCTGTTAATCCATGAGGGCTCTGTCCTCACTACCAAATCATTTCTTAAAGGCCCCGCTTCTCAACTATGTTACAACGGCAATCAAATTTTGACATGAGTTTCAGAGGAGACATTTAAACCACAGCAATCATTGAGCAATGATAACAAAGATGAGATGTCTGCTTACATCATGCCCAAAACCCCCATGGTGATTCACAGTGGACAGTCAAATGGTTGTCCAGATAGGCCGTTCGCTAACCCGTGAGTGAGAGCAGAGACTGCCTGTCTTGTTTACTGCTATATTCCTGGTGTCTAGCAGAGCAGATATGTAATATTTATAGGTTTGATAATTAATTAATCATAAATATATAGAATTCATTCATTTGTATATTCGCAAGCCTTGTCTACTTCAGGCTGGGCATGTTAGTTTGGACCGTGACTAAAGTTACCTGTGGCTCCCTCTGAGGTTTGTGTCTCCTTGTCTATTCCTGGGGGTGGGGAACAAGGCCATAAGAGCCCTAAATCCCCAGGAAGCAGGACTGCCTGGGATGATCTGGGCCCTTCAGTAAGGTCACTGCACTACTAGAATGGGGACCTAGTTTTGTCTATGTCTAACACCTGGGACTGAAGACAGGATGTCCCTGAATTGTGACCTAGAAGTGAGATGCACCTGATAAGAGTGACCTCCCACACATTTTCCCCCACCCCAGAATTCATTTCTTTTTCTTCTTTCTTCTTCTTTGAGATGGAGTCTCGCTCTGTCACCCAGACTGGAGTGCAGTGGAGCAATCTCAGCTCACTGCAGCCTCCACCTCCCAGGTTCAAGTGATTCTTCTGCCTCAGCTCCCGAGTAGCTGGGATTACAGGTGCATGCCACCACACCTGTATAATTTTTATATTTTTAGTAGAGATGGGGTTTCACTGTGTTGGCCAGGCTGGTCTTGAACTCCTGACCTCAAGTGATCTGCCCCCTACTCCCAAAGTTCTGGGATGACTGCCATGAGCCAGCACACCCAGCCTGTATTACTCTTTCTTGACAAAGTATCTGCATTTCCTTTCCATGTGTAGAGATGTCAGTCAAGGCACCTTGCCTTATCTGGCCAGGGTACAACCATACAATCCAGACTGGGTCAGTGAGACTCCTGGGAATCTGGCTTTTGAGCAGAGCAAAGGAAAGATCCAAAAGTTGTTTGGAGCCCCTCTACTCTAACTGTGAAGCCCTGACCTGAAAGATAATTCCTGTGGTGGAGACTTGTCCTGGCTCCTGCCTTGTTCTGAGCCTTGTTCTCTGGGCTTCTTTTGAATTCTGTGAGCCACACACATCCTTCTAATACATTCATTTACTGCTGAAGTCAACCAGAGTAAGCTTCTATTGTGAAACCAAAAAATGGTGATTCATTGTACCTGGGTTTCCCAGAGAGGTAGCAAGGGGGCAGGGCACTGGATTCTAACTCTCAGGGGCTAACAGGAGTAGACCGCTTTCTGAAAGGGTTCAAGAATGTCCTGTGCTCCACCAGAAACTGGGCATTCAGCCAGCACCATACTAGCATCTGGATTGTCCAACCTGGATACTACCTACTGCTGCTTCTGGCAGGAACCCCAGGCTCTACTTTGAAAACCACCACCTGGAGTTGCAAATCAGCCTCCAGGTTTCACTCCCCATCCTCTTCAGTCCCTTCTGTGTGGGGCTCAGCCCATCTGCTAAAGGGCAATATTTGAAATTCAGGCCAGGCACTGACAGAATGGGGCTGGGGCTGGAGCTGGAGTAGGGTGAAAGCATGCGTCTGTGTTGCTGCAAGGAGGGGCACTAGGGCAGGGGTTATTAACAGCCAGACGTACATATTTTAATATTTGAACAGCCAGTTCAACTGCACTGCACTGGTACACAGCATCTGGCTATCAACTTAGCACCTATGGAACTGTGAG